ATTCAACAGTAAATTCATACTTCTTTAAACATTTTAGTAGATAAAATTAGATTACAGTAAGCCTCTGTGCTGGCTCTCATTTTTAAGTTAAATGATTATTTGACTTTTCAATTGAAATTCTTTATGCATATTCTTTAACATAAAGAATCTTATCTCTTGAAAGAGAAAACTGGTCTGCAAAGTAAAGCTCTTCTCATATGCCCCCATCCAAAATGCTGTTAACTATAAAACAGTGGGAAATGCTGAAGTGAAAGCAGAAGTCCTAATTGCCACATACAGCATCCCCACATGTTGTCGTCCCTGCTATTGCTGATCAGCTTTTTGGAGGTATTTTTCAAAAAGGAACTGTCTTGAAAGGCATTTCTGTTGTTACGGTTATTGGTATAGCTCAGATATACTTGCTTTTGGATGCGACTATAGAAATACAATGGTACCTAAATGAAGTGTTTATTTATTTATCAAACAGTTAGTAATAAACATTATTGCCAGGACGAGCAGTCATCTGTCTTCTGTCCTGTTAACAGGAATTCAGAATATGGGTTACAAATGCCTCCTCCCTCTCACATGCAGCCTTCCTTTATTGCCTTCGTCCACCCTACCAATTTCTACTTCTCACCTCCTTCCACTCCTGCCCCAGTCCGCAGAATTTTAGTAATTAGTTTATGTGAAATGAAAAAGGTTGAAAATCGCTGGTCTAGACTAGTCAGTATACTGCCAGGCCATGGCTAAGAAGGAATGCCTGAAGTCTTTTCTTTGTTCTTCTCATTCTTGAGTCCCTTAGGCTGAAAATAGTCAGGCGTACAGATGGGTTTGCTGTTGAGCCTGGCTGGATGTCTAGAACTGGTCCAAAGCTTTTTTTTTTTTTTTACTTTTATGGGGAGCCAACTCCCAAATCAGTCTGGGAGCCTCCCAGGGTGTAAATAATCGAACCTCGGGACTCTGTGAAGCATCCTTTGGGCCACTCTGGATCCTGCAGGTTCTGGTAACTAGATGAATCTAGACTGGAGAAGGGCTTGATTTGTGGCCATGATTCACCTAAACCTGCCTCTGACTTTGCTTCAGAATGCAAGTGCGTATTAGCTACATGAGGAGGTTATGGCAGGTTAGGCAGAAGTAAACTCAGAGCTTCTGAAAGGTCATCTAGCTTAGTCCCTTTATTTTGCAGATGAGGAAACGGTAGCACAGAGCGAGAATTATCTTTAATTTAGATGGCATTGTAAAGTCATTCATTCTGACCTGTCAACATCAACATCTAGGAATGTCTCCCCCAAAATGCCTGACAGCTGGTCACCCAGAGGATGGTCTGGGGAACTCATCATTTTAAAGAGAGAATAGCTCTAATTAAAAGAGCTAACTGAATTGAAATCTCTCTCTCTAACTTTTATCTTCTCAGTGGTTCTAATTTAGTTCCTTTCCCATGTAACAACTCCCAAGGTAAGACCACTTCAAACCCCAAAATTAGCAAATATCACCATAGCATATACTTTCCTTTTTTAAAAAATATATTTTATGGATTTTTTTACAGAGAGGAAGGGAGAGGAATAGAGAGAAACATCGATGAGAGAGAAACTACGATCAGCTGCCTCCTGCATGCCCCCTACTGGGGATGTGCCCGCAGCCAAGGTACATGCCCTTGACTGGAATCCAACCTGGGACCTTTCAGTCCGCTGGCTGATACTCTATCCACTGAGCCGAACCGGTTAGGGCAGCATATACTTTTCTTAAAGTACAGCTGAAAAAGAACTTTATTGAATCTATAAAAACATGGCATTCTATACTCTTTCATATATTTAAAACTTCTTTTCTGAGCTAAAAATCACTACTTTCTTAGTTTTCTTCACTTTCTCTTCATTTCTGTAACTGGCACTAGCATTTAGCTCTTTCCATGAAACTTTTAAAAACAAACCTACATTTTATCACTTTGTGAGTCTAATTGTACAAAACTACCAGGAGTTTTGGTAGCAGAACTCACCCCTGTAACCTGTCTGTGATTTCTATGGTCTCCTTCTTAGCCTGTGAAGAGTTTCCCAACTGGTCTTCTAACCCTCCAGCCTGCTCGTGCCCAAATATAAATTCTTTGCTTCTGTTAGAATGATTTGTCTAAAATGCAAATTTTATCATGTTAACTTCCTTAATTCAGTGGTTCCTCAGCACTCAGTGCTTCAAAAATTTTCCACTAAGTGACAACTGATGATAGAGGAGCCTTTCTCAGCTGGATTTCCATGAGAGAATTAATCCCTGATACCATTAGACATCCATTGTATGTAAATGTATTACTTTATCCAGTGCATCTGGAATGATGCTAGTTATGTACAGTCTTGAGGAGAATTGAGAAAATAGTCACTCAAATAATATTTTTGTTCTGTGGTTCAGACGAGGAACCCAGTATGAAAGGTGGAGGAGAGAGGATGTTATGTCTTCAGTAGGTCCAGAAGCATGACTCGGGGCCACCTCCAGAAAAAAAACCTGCCAGATTTCATTGAAGTCTGGGGTCTCATCTTTAAATGTATGTCACTATTGCATTCTACTACATAGTAAGTCCAAGGATTAAAATGTTTTAAAATACTTATCAGTGAAAAAAGTTGATTTTTCCAGGAAGATTTTCCTAGGGTTCGTAGAACTACAAATAACTATATTTTTTACCCTGTAGTGGACATTTTACATATCCTATATTACTTACTATCTCCAGGAAAATTACCCAAGCTCACACAGCTAGTCAGGTGTCAGAGTCAGTGTTCTAACCCAGTATGTCTCAACTCTACAACTTGAAACTGAGTTGAGAGTCAAGAACCTAAAAGTCTTTGCCCATTTCTAAGTTTATCTTCACCAGAAGGTAGGATTTTTTTTCGTAGTCAAATTATTATTGTGGTTCAGATCATGAATAATTCCATACTTTGTATGCAAAACATAACTAACCTTGATTATCCAAAACAAAAGTAAGCAGTAATGCAGGTAATTCCATATAACAGGGGATCTTGTCTCTTTTTGGTGGCTCTGAAACATATTAAATTACTTTTTAAGTAGCAGATATACTTTTCTAATTGTTTTGTCTTGGTGGTTATTTACATATTGTCATTTCTTTTTTTTAATATGAAAGGCTTCATGAATTTGTGTGTCATCCTTGCGCAGGGGCCATGCTGATTTTCTCTGTATCGTTCCACTTTTAGTATATGTGCTGCCAAAGCGCGCACCATATTGTCGTTTTTTTGAGTACTCTTTAGCTAGTTATAGGAGCTGGCATTTTTGGCAAGAGGAAGCCATCTTGGTATTGAAAATTTGGTTTTAGGTAAATCCAACCCAGGTGACAGAATTGACTCCATTTGTGTCTGCTTACCCAGAGCACTTGGGAAAGCATAAATGCTAAAGTACCAAGGCCTTAGAAGTTGCCCCTCACCCCCTGCCTCCCCAATCTGGCATTTACCTAGCCATCTGGAATCCAGTTTCTGTTAGGTGTTCAGAGAGAACTTCTGGAATGCCCTGTCAATGGCCACATTCAACACAGAATTTCAAGGAGATCTGGCTCTTTTAGCTCCTCTGAGAAGCTGGAACAAGACTGAAATTATTGCTAATGGAGGGAACCACAGTGGCTGTTTTCAATCATCTCTGACTACACCTTTGAATTTCTGGTTCTTTCAGAAAGCTTGAAATATGGAAGTTTGAGGGCAGCCCGAGGATGGTGTACAGAGCCCTGTGAGGTTCTTCTATTTGTCACCTCCTGCCTCCTTTGCTGTTCTAAACTTTCTTTTCACCATGAATTACTAAAGATTGCATCTTAGTACCCAAAACCCTTTCCATTAAGTAAAAGAGGAGAAGAGTTAGACTAGAAGGAAAGTCCAGAGTTAGGGTTAGAAAACCTACTGAGTCAAAGGGGAACTTTGCAGAGGAGCGGAATGAAAATTATTTCCTTAGACAGTAGACAAATATTCAGGAAACACCTCTGCACCCCAAAGATAGGCACAGCTGCCACACAGTGCCTGTTAAAGGGAGTTTCAGAGTTATGAGCAAACAGCTGATTCTCTTGGTTCTTGGGCTGTTGCTGTTGGTGACAGGAAACCTTGTTCCCCAAGCTGCTGGCTTCCTGTTTTATTTTTACTCTTAGCAGATCAGAATGTCCATAACAAGGAGCAGTCTGTTCCAAAGGGTTCTACTCCCCCTTTGAGCCTGAAGGGCTTTTACTTTTTTTTTTTTAACTTTTGGTTGGACAGTATGCTGGTTCACTTTTAAGATCTATGATATTTAGTTTGGTTTAAACATTTTGTATTCACAATCAACTTTTTGGTGATGAACTGGTGTTATAAGATTTGATGTAAGTAAACCTCTATTTTACTTTTTTTGTTGTTGTTTAAGAGGAGTTTGCAGTCTCGGGGACTTGGGTATGTTGCCTTTATGTTTCGCCTTTTTACTTAAAGTGAATCTGCCATTTTCCCTAGCATGAAAATCATTAGACTGTTTTGGATAGCTTTAGTTTTACAAAATAGGGAAATAGTGTGCCATGGCTGTAGTCATATCCGTTTTGTTGAGACTAAAACCTGCTTCTATCCTTGTAAAGCTAGGAATGTGGTAATCTAACTCTGAAACAATAGCTCAAAATGAACCCGAAGTGCTGGGGGATTTCCTAGGGAAAGGCGCTCAGCCGACAGCATAAGAAACAGTAACTGGAAGGTTTCCAGGTCTGCTCCAGACACTTCCTGCTGTCTCAAGAGCCTTTGGCCCAGGTGTGTCGAACCAGATGGGAGAGAGAAAGGGAACTGTTGGGTAGAAGGAAAAGGACTAGGGAATCTTAAAGCACAGTTTGCTCGGCATCGTGTTTGACATATTGAACATGTAAATTTTTCCTTAATAGTCTTTCTGTCAGTTTACAGACTGAACTTTAGCAGTGCTGATAGAGACTGGCAGCCAATATTTAGTTGTACATTAACAGTCGTTCATCAGGGAAGAACTGGAGAAATTATGTCCTGATGTAGATCCATGGAATCACTATTGGTAACTTAATTTCATTGGGGAGATGAGATTATCAGATGACAAAAGCTCTTTTTTGATCCTTAAAATTGATCATCTGGAATTTGATCTACCCTGGACACCCCAAGAATAGGATCTGTACCTTCTAGGATCTGCTAAATGGGCTGTTTTCTGACCATAACTCCTTGCCTCTGGAGATTCTTGTTGGTTAGAGCATAGTTGTTTTAGGTTTTTTAATGCTGTCTGTAGTACCCCAGCCAGCAGTCACCAGTGCAGAATCTCTGCACTTACCCAGCAATCCTTTACCAAACCTTAAAAAGGTGGTGGTTGGGGGAAGTATTGAGGGGATTCTTTTTTTAAAAATATATTTTATTGATTTTTTACAGAGAGGAAGGGAGAGGGATAGAGAGTTAGAAACATCGATGAGAGAGAAACATCGATCAGCTGCCTCCTGCACACTCCCCACTGGGGATGTGCCCGCAACCAAGGTACATGCCCTTGACCGGAATCGAACCTGGGACCCTTGAGTCCACAGGCCGACGCTCTATCCACTGAGCCAAACCGGTTTCGGCAAGATAGAAGATTTTTTAAAGCTGTTTTAGATCAGAGCAAGACAAAAAGACTTACACTGCCCTAGTGTGCCTGGAATTTGTGGTTGAGTAATACTTTCCTGTTATTTCTTTTTTAGGTTGTTTTTCATCATTCAGAACATTGCCTGAAGCAGGTCCACCATGCCGTTAGTAACGAGGAACATCGAGCCAAGGCACCTGTGCCGTCAGACGTTGCCTAGTGTTAGAAGCGAGCTGGAATGCGTGACCAACATCACCCTGGCAAATGTCATCCGACAGCTGGGCAGCCTGAGTGAGTGCCGCAGAGAGCCTGTGCTTTGCCCTCAGGGGTCGTTGGTGCTCTTTATTTAGTTCCCTTCTCCTCCTGTGTAACTATTTCTCCCCCATCTGCCTTCCCTAGGTAATGCAAAAATGTATCCCACCCCCCTCTCCCCCAAGAGAGGCTGCTTTCTGGTACAGACTCTTCCCCTCAACCCTTTCTTCATCTGCCACCACCCTCTAGGCTCCCTCCACCTCCCTCTCCACCTGCTTCTAAAGAAATCTGTAGGAAGGGTGGCAGGAAGGGCTGCAGCAGAAACTGCAGATGGAATGACAGAGCAGAATTCTGTGTGTGTAAAGTGGGAGGTTCACAGAACAGTATCTTGGGTTGGGGAATGTGCCTGTAATTGCACGAACTGTTCAATGTAGCCTGACTTTGTTGAAGCCTCAAATGTGCCAATAGTCACATCTACCCGACATCCCCCACCCCCTGTCTTCCCAAAGAGGAGTAAAGCAAACATGCACTCGGAGAGATTCTGGCTGACTTGTCCACCCTGGTACACATTTAATTGTGCTGCAAGCCCCCAGGTCCAAGTTCAGGGTACAAATTACTTCTGCAATCTCCGGGGTATTGGGAGTTTTGCAAGCTGCGTGAACACACAGTGACACAAATTGTAGCTGGAGCCATTCTTCTCTAGGAGGAGGATGGGGGGGAGGGTGTAGTCCAGTCTGTTTTGGAGCTGAGGGAAAGCCAGCTCAACTGTATCTTTTTTTTTTTAATTGGCAAGAATGAATGAGACTGCCTTGGGTGGGGTACATACATGTGGTTTGGATTTCATTCTGCATCAAGCTGACTTTGTTTGCTTGAAGCTGAGGTATGGGAAGGACAGATGCTTAGATAGGCTGTGCATTTGTGTAGTACCACTCCAGCTCCCCATAAGAACCTCCATCAACATGGTATTTTAGTGATCTTCCTTAGCAAAGGCATCTTAGTGTGAATTATTTCAGACATTCACTCCTCCTGTCGCATCACTGTCCTTAGTAAAGGCAGTGGAATAGTATCAAGAAAGCCTGCATTCCCCCAGATAGTAATAGACCCTGCCTTTAAAATAGGGGCCTGAGGAGACAGAGCGCAGTGACCAGATGATATATGGGGTCTGAGATTCCTAAGCCTTCACCTCGCTCCGAGGCCATCGCGGTTGATCCAGGACTTAGGGAAACCTGGATGGGCGTCTGGAGGAAACGAAACCCTGTGGATGCCTGCCTTACACAAAGGAACGTTGACAGCAGTGCAACAGCAGTGCAGCTGCCAAGCACATGAAAGCTGCAGAGTGCCTCACTGCTTCTTAAAAGCATCATTTCTGCCTCGGTCACCCTGCGTAGGCCAAATGGGTGGAAGGCAATCACACACGGTTCCCTCTTCATAGGACAAAGGACATCCAGCTAATGATGCTGCTTATTCTCACTCAGCAGGAGTCAGGCTCGCTCTCAGGTGTTTTTCGGGGTAGTGCTGATGGATGACGTTGCTCACTCTCCCATCTGTGATCAGACCACTTCTACCGTCAGGAAGCTGATGAGGGCCAGGATCAGCTTGTGCCTACAGAAACAGGATTTCCTTACATCGTGGAGCTAATGACCCTTTATTCATCCTATAAACACCTATTGAACATACTTTATGTTTAGTGCTGAGGGGATACAGCAATGAGAAATGGTCTCTGGCCTTAGCCGGTTTGGCTCAGTGGACAAAGTGTTGGCCTGCAGACTGAAGGGTCCCGGGTTCAATTCTGGTCAAGGGCACATGCCTGAGTTTAGGTTTGATCCCCAGTAGGGGGCATGCAGGAGGCAGCCAATCAGTGATTCTCTCTCATCATTGATGTTTCTATCTCTCTCTCCCTCTCCCTTCCTCAATGAAATCAATAAAAAATATATATTTTTTTTAAAAAAGAAAAGAAAAGAAATGGTCTCTGCCTTTCAGGAGCTTATAATCTACCAGAGGAGACAGAAATAAATAAATCTTAAGGGGAGAATGGGGAGAGGGTAAGGAGCAGGAAACTCATATTTGACTGCCTACTTTATCCCACGTTTTAATAGGATCTTGATATACATGATCTCATTTAATCTTCTCAATAATCCTGTAAAAATAGATGATATTTCTATTTTTTCAGATGGGGAATGAAGGCTCAGAAAAGTACGATAACTTGCCTAGAAAGACAGCAGCCAGTAAGAGGCAAGTCAGTCTCTGCTGTGAGTTGCTAAGTTCAAGGCTCCTTGAAGATATCGCTGCTCATCAAGGATTTCTCGTCTCAGTCCCCTGCGCTCTGTCTCTGCCAATAGGGCCCTGGTTCAGACCTTTGTTGACTCTCACCTAAACTATTGCCCTAGCCTCCTTCTGGCTTCCCTTTCTCTGATCAACCCCTCAATCTATACTCCAAAAAATCTTACAAATCGTAAGCCTATACCCTGCCACAGTTGTCTACCAAACATGCAAATATCACTTTTTACTTTTATAATTCTGAGTTGTTTGAATTTTTAAAAGTTAAGGCTGTGACCTAATTGGTTTGGCTCAGTGGATGGAGTGTCGGCCTGTGGACTAAAGGGTCCCAGGTTCGATTCCAGTCAAGGGCATGTGCCTTGATCGCGAGCACATCCCCAGTGGGGGGTGTGCAGGAGGCAGCTGATCGATGTTTCTCTCTCATTGATGTTCTAGCTCTCTATCCCTCTCCCTCTCTGTAAAAAAAAATCAATGAAATGTATTTTAAAAAAAAGTTAAGGCTGTGTTAACTTTTGTAGTTTAAAAAGTGTTTTTAAACTAAGAGTACAAATGTTAACTATTTATCTCCCCTGTGCCTCACTAGGGAATTACCTAAAAAGTTCCTTGGTCTGTCGTCATTCAAGACTCTTCAAGACCTGCTTTCCTTTCCAGCCTCATTTTCTGCAGTCCGTCTTCTCCCATGTTATAGTCTTTTTAAAGGATTTAAAAGGAACAGAGGAAAAAACAGGGGAGGAAAGGGAGGAAGAAAGAATGAATGATCAGCTCCTTGTCGGTCCTCATAGAGCAGCCGGGAGCAAACTCCGGCCCGTGGCCGTTTGAAATTGTAATGATGTTTACTTTGAATTTATATTAGTTCACACAAACACTCCATCCGTGCTTTTGTTCCGGCCCTCCAGTCCAGTTTAAGAACCCATTGTGGCCCTCGAGTCAAAAAGTTTGCTCACCCCTGTCATAGAGCATACTCTCATACCTTCACACTGTTTCCCCTGCCTGGAGAACCCTTGCCATCTTTATAGCTGATCTTTTTTTTTAAAATATATTTTATTGATTTTTGCCATCTTTATAGCTGATCTTTTTTTTTTTAATATATTTTATTGATTTTTTACTGAGAAGAAGGGAGAGGGATAGAGAGTTAGAAACATCCATGAGAGAGATTGACCAGCTGCCTCCTGCACGCCCCCCAATGGGGACGTGCCAGCAACCAAGGTACATGCCCTTGACCGGAACCGAACCCAGGACCCTTGAGTCCGCAGGCCGACGCTCTATCCACTGAGCCAAACCGGTTCGGCTATAGCTGATCTTTAAGGCCCAGCTCAGGGATCTCCTCCTCTAAGTTGGACTAAGTGCTCTTCTGAGCTCCTATTACGTGCCTGTATTAGTACCTATCACATTAGATTGAAAATTATATATCTTAGATTAAAAGTTCTTTGAAGGCAGGAATCATGTGTTGTTCGTCCTTGAACCCCAGTCAGTGTCTATCTTATATAGTACTTGGCACCCAGTAGAAGATCAGTAAATGTTTGTTGAGTGATTCATACTTGTATTCTCCTCACCATCTCATGCTGTTGGTGCACAGTGAATACAAGGAAGGAAGGAAGGAATACTACCTATAGGGAGCAGGCACACAGCTGGGGATAGGCAGGGTCAAGGAAGGCTACATAGAAGAGATTCCATTTAAACCAGACCTTGAAAGATGCTGGGATTTCATCTAGCAGAGAGGGATGCAGGAATGGACTCTAGTGTGCTGCAAGCTCATGGTCTTGGCCTCATGTATTGTACTGTAGCCAGAAGTGCTCAGTCTAGTAGGGAAGGTGTGATTATGGAATGGATAAAGCACCAAACTAAAAGTACCATATCTGTGGATTGCTTTGTGAGAGCATATCCAGAATTCATATTTTCCCTTAGCGCAGTGAGATTGGTATTTCACATATTCGGTTGCCATAGCTTAGGAATTAAAGGCACAGCCAGCAAGCACTTTTGACCACCCAGGAGGGTGCCGCCCCCATTTGGGTCATTAAGAAATCATGCTCTGATGTTGACTTTAATAACCAAGTGTACTGGGGTCATGCCATTGGGGGAGGGAGGTGCTTCAGGAGTCCCACTCAGGCTTTAACAAGAGTAGCTTCACATTTTAAAAAACTCAGTTTTACCTGTTCCAACTCCATGTAATATTTAGGTTGAAGAGTTCCACTGCAAAGGGAGAAAAATGATGACTGATTTGCAAAACGTGATGTCCATTATGAATGTCCCGATGTGATGGTGGGTCTGTCTTGGTAATCTGAATGAGTGAAATGTAACTCTGAACAAGGCACTCTGCTTTTCTCCTACAGTTGTAGTAATTTTTAGTACTTGAAGAATAGGGACTATCAAATTACGGACTGGAATTATATTTAAAATTTCTTCTAAGCAGACAACATGATTTTTAGATAGTCACACTCTTAAAAGTCATCTGGTACAGCTGAGTAATATAAGGAAGAATCTCATTGTAAAAATTTACATTTAATCCTATGACAACTTGGTGAGGTAGATACAGTTATCCCTGTTTTACAGACGAGGAAACTGACGCTGAGAGATTGTGATTTGCTGAAGCTGCACAGGTGTAAACAAAGACACCGAGACTTACATTTCCTGGTTTGAAGTCTACTGCTTCCATGTATCATCTTAGCTCTGAGCATACCTTGGGCCTGATGGGTGTAACAGGGGGAAGCCTTCACACCACCTCACTTTCTCTCAGATAGCATTCTGAGTGTTGCCATTGTTATATGTTGGGTTTCTTTGTAAGATTTTTATCTTGAAAACCACTGTGCCACACAGTAAGCCTCTACTCCTTCTATCACTGCTCCCTTCACTGAGGAGCAGGCAATCCTAGGTACTCTCATGTGACCTAAAGATAAGTTAATTTGGGGTTTTCTTTTCCTCCAGAACAGCTGGAGGGACAACAAATATTTTTGAGCCTGGTTTATTTTCCACACAGAATGTTGCATGTTTCTCTGCTTTAGCCTTACACTCACAGTTTTCTCTTTCCTGGATGAGCAGGATACAGTATGGTTTGAGCTTGTCAGCCAGTTTGAGTCATTTGAGCCCAGGAGCTCCCCATAGCTGTTTAGATCACAAAACTCTTCAGTATGCAAAGACTTGCTCCTTCCCCTGATTAGAAACTCCTTACTGACTACATTTACCAGCAATTCTAAATATGATTAGTCTTATCCTTGCTCTCCAGGTTACACTGGAAGGTGAACTACAGTTTACCCTGAAGGTGCAGTTTTGGACTAATCCACTCCCCCACCCGCCCAGGTGTGGACTAAGCATAAATAAAATTTAGAACCCAAAAGTCAGAGTCCATTTTAAATAGTTCTCAAAGAAATTATCTTATGCCTGCCTTCACTGTGCAGGTAAGAAACTCACATGGTATATTAGCTTATATGCACCACTTTTCATTCCTACAAGAATGTGCTTTGTGGCTTGGAGTGACAATATGAAGGTAGCATCAAATTGCTCTTCTGTTTCTTTGGCTTGCATTCTCCTTGTATTGCGGGGTTGAAAGTACAGAAATTCATGGAACTCTTTTCTTTTTCTAAAAACAAGACATTGTGGAAAGAGACCACTGGTATGTTGTTTTTTTCAGGGGGGGGGCTTGAAAGTTTTAGATTTTCACTTTTTCCCTGAGATATGGATTTGAAGGATATAACCTAGAGCAAAGACTTTCAAAGCTGTAGGTTATAAAACATAGAATAAGCTTTTCACCCCTTAGAAGAAGTTGTAAGTCTCTGCTGTGAGTTGCTGGTAAGTTCAAGGCTCCTCGAAGATACCACTACTCATCATGGTTGTTCAATATACTTTTGAGGCTCCACTGAGGATGTAATGTCTTATTTTTCATGTTAATTTAGACACCTGGAAGATCCTTCTAATTTCCCGTCTGTTTTCCAGAACCATTTACAAGGTGCTTTTACAGAGTAGCGAGGGGTAAAGGGCTATAGGCAAAGGTGCAGGCATATTGTCTACCTTGCAGGATTCATTTTTTGTATTATACCTTTCGATTTTATTCAGATTGCTTTGAGTTTTGTGACTCTTCATAGTTTGCCAAGAAGACTCAGTTGTAGAACATATGCAGAGTGCCCAGCTATGGAGACTGTCTCTGTCTCCAGAAGCAACCATCTGCATGTAACCCCAACAATCCTGAGGGAGAGGGAAGGCTCTTTCGGAGGTGGGGAATATGATCTTTAGTGGCCAGTTTTTCTGACCTTTTATGTCACTTTTGTGCACTAATGAGTTGGTTTCTTTGTTCAGGTAAATATGCAGAGGACATCTTTGGAGAGATCTTCACTCAGTCAAACACCTTTGCCTCCCGGGTAAGCTCCCTTGCTGAGAGGATTGACCGCCTACAAGTTAAAGTCACTCAGCTGGATCCCAAGGAAGAAGAAGGTACGGAAGCTGAGCTCAGCACTTGCAGGCTCTGCTGAGCAGTTTCTTATAATTTTTTTCCTGATTTGTAAAAAAAAAGTGAGAGGAGAAATCACAGAAACCTATGGAGTTCTGCTTTGAAGTAGCACAAGTTTGGGTGGCATAGAGAAATCTTTTTAGCGCGACCACACTCCCACACACTCCCTCTCTCCCATTCCCCCAATTCCCTCGTTCTCAGATTCCCCCTCCCCCAGTCTCACTCTGCTACCATAAAAGTACTTGGAAGATTCATTCCTCCTCAGGAGAGGCCTGCTAGATCTGGCCACATAGTAAACCTTTGTGTTGCCTCATTTTGTTCCGTCTGAAATGGCTGGGCTGCTGACAGCCGTGTGGGGCTTCCCCAGAGGGGGAGAAAAAAAGCCTGGCTGCAGACAGCCGCAGCCAAGAAATGTAGCAGCTGAGGCCTCTCCGACTGGTGTGACTCAGTGTTTGCTCAAATAGCCTGTCGTCCATTTTCTAATGCCTCCATCTTCTCTCAGTGTCACTACAAGGAATCAACACCCGAAAGGCCTTCAGAAGCTCGACCACTCAAGACCAGAAGCTTTTTGACAGAAACTCTCTCCCTGTCCCTGTCTTGGAAACATACAACACCTGTGATACTCCCCCACCTCTCAACAATCTTTCCCCTTACAGGTAACCTGGCTAGCTCCTCCTCCTTCTGACCTGTGGTTAACAATATTAGATTGTCTTTTTACTTAAAGATATTGTTTATGTCAGAGAATTGTATCAAAGAGCTTGCTACCTACCTCAGAGTTTTTTGTGGCAGCAGAAACTAACATTTACCACATAAACAGTTGTCACTTATTATTGTTTGGTTTCTAAAATTCATACATTGAAAGTTGGCTGTATTTTTGTATGCCACAAGTTCGGTTTGATATAGCCAGATCCATCTTGGATTCCATCCAAGGAATTTAGTTATTGTAGAACCAAAAGGACTTGTTACAAGGCAGTCCTATAGTACATCCCAGGGGCAACATTCTAGCAAGGCTCCCAGTTACTCAGAAACCACTAGATTACCAGATGTTTGGGCGCGTTAGTGGGGCCAGCCTTGTGGACTGGCTGCTCTGGGCCCTGGGGGTCCTTCCAAAGCTTAAGGAGTGACTGGCATTGTTCCAAACGAGTATTGTTCGCTTTTTGAACATTCCCCTTGGAAAGGAGCTACACTGCTGTGGCCGGACTTTAAAAAAGAAGGGAGCCTGTGGACACCGTCGAGCCCTTCTCCTCTAACGGTCTGCTCGTGTTATCCTGCAGATAACCACTGAGCAGGACAGAAAGTAAATGTTTATCTTGCTTGCATCCATAAGTGTCTTTGAAACAGGTAAAAAGTAATTACAGCTAGCTGGAGGCAGATACCTTCTGTGGGACCTGGGTATACTACCAAGTAGAAGGGGGGCAGGGGGTGCCAGTTGCACAGGATTCCAAGGACACCTGCTGATCCCGGGAGCCTGGAATAGGAGCATGGTAGCTTCTCACACGGATATTGAGAAAGTACCTGGCATCTATCGTATATTATTATTGTGTGAAATTATATTTGTCCCTTGACTTTCAAAGGGACTAGCTATCATAGTGGGCAGAGATTTGACTCTGCAGGCTCTATTACTTAGTTGGGTTTGGGCAGTGGGAGTACACATCTAATAATATCAAAGTGAGTATGATATAGGGTGTGGTAGGATAAACAAACAATATAAAACAAGTTTATATTTTAGATAAAGGTATTTTCCTCTTTGATATTATTTCAGTTATCTGAATTTGGCTTAACATAAATGAGTGGAGGTATAGCTAACACAACAAGATTTAATATAAAAATCATTAGTGTTTGATTTGCAAATGCTCTTTGTGTGTTGTGATAGAATTGGAAGCCAGGATATAGAATTGCCTTTCCAATTTGTTTTAGTTCAGAATAGTGTTAAAATAAATGTCCCTGAGTACATGCTTTCTGGAAAGTGAGAGAGACTTATGCCAAAGTGTAGGATTCCAACTAGGATCGTCGAGTCTGGCAGATAACTCTTACCTTAACACTCAGTAACTCACTCTATTCCATCACAGCCACTAAGAGATGGCAATTAAATCTTGTGGTCATAAAACATCTGGCTCTGTGTTCTCAATAGGGCCCCCTCGTAGTTGGGGAGCTGGGGGGTGCTGGGTGGATGCTGAGCTATTCTAGAAGGGAGCAAGAAGATGGAGTACTGTGATCATCTGTTTTCACAGAGGAATATCAGCCGCACACATATATACATTGATATGTGTATATGTATACATATGTACACATGTGAACCTAACATTGTGTGCAGAGGTTTCAGGTGGGTGGGAGGCCACTAATGCTTCTGAGAGAGCCAGGGTAATTGGTGCAGGGAAAGGGAACCAGTGGCAGAAATCCCCTCTGATATGCCAGGATATCTTCAGGGAAATGTCAGAGGCCATGCAGATCATTAGAAATAATCGGGATCCCTGCTGCTATAGCCCATTCTTTTCCCTGACCATGCAAATTCCTCCACCAGGAATTGAAAGTAAGGCTAAGGTTCTTTAAAAGCCAGATAAATAAAGAGGTGGCATTGAAGGGGCATTGGAACGCTGGTATGGGAGAGGAAGTAGGCAATCAATTTAAATGACCTGATTCCTGAGTGTGAAAACTGCTAACTGGTAGGTATTTGGAATATTGGATTTGGTTAGGAGCTCATCTGTCTGCTGACAGCTACTTGTCTTCATTTCTATCCCAGGGACGATGGGAAAGAGGCACTCAAATTCTACACAGACCCTTCGTATTTCTTTGATCTTTGGAAGGAGAAGATGCTGCAGGACACCAAGGATATCATGAAAGAGAAGAGAAAGCACAGGGTGAGGGGAAGGGGCCTCTGTTCTACACATCAGCAGGCACGATTGTGGAGGGGGGATAAAAAGGAAGCCAGTCTTATGTGAAGTAATCATTCTGAGTGGCTGCTTGCTTGGATGCCAGGTGAAACACTTAAAAAATGTGTCCACTCCAAGCACAACCAAGATGAAAGTATAAATCACACCAGAAGTGTGTTTGTTCCCCCCAGCACTATTAACAATAGTATATTCAGGCTGAGTTTTAGAAATTGACTTTTCTATTCACCATTTATTTCTCTTGCAATTTGCACCTGACTCTGCTGGACACTCAAGCTAGGCTAGTCCCTTCCCTGCCAGTTTTGCAGCTCATTTCTGAGAGATCAGCACAAGGCTCTACCGTGTTTGATTTGCAACCGGAGCAGTTTAACACCTTCAGTACCGGCGGGTAGTAGAGGTGGGGAGTAGGCCTGGTTTTGGGAGATGCTCCCCTTAGACTCCCAGGGATGTGTGTGAGCCCATGTGACCGACCAGTTGCAGCCTCACACTCCCATTAGCATGGCTGCCAGGAGGCCCAAGAGTGCGCCGGGGCTAGTGCAGCTGCACAGGCTGAAGAAACCCTCGTTGGTGGTTTTGTTTTAACCATTTTCTTACATCTACCCAGATGTCTATAGCTATCAGTACCTCATCTCTCTTCACTGACCGTTGAGGCACAGTAATTCTATTATAAATTCTGTAGTTACTGTATGTTGTCCAGGTAAAGCATCTCATCCATGGAGGTGGATGGAATTTTAGAGAAGAACATTGGAAAATGTTTTACAAAGGATTTTCTGGGGTTTTTTTTTTATTATAGAAAGAAAAGAAAGATAATCCAAATCGAGGGAACATAAACCCACGTAAAATCAAGACACGCAAGGAAGAGTGGGAGAAAATGAAGATGGGACAAGAATTTGTGGAATCCAAAGAAAAGCTGGGGCCTTCTGGGTAGGTGATGCTCTTGTGTACTGTTGGTAGCTTTCTTTGAAGGGACTGGGGACCTCAGTCTGACAGCTTTAGTGTGACACCTTTCATACCCCCTGAGTCTGGCTGTATGGCTTAGATTGATATCACTGTTAACTACTTTAAAGTGCATCCATCTGGTGATTAAAATTTGCTAAGTTAATGAAGACTCAGCAGTTTAAATGAGGTGACTGAAGTGGTGTGGGGGAGAAAACCATGGCTTCTAGTGCCCTCACTCTGCCAGGCACTGGCACGACTAAAGGCCTCAAAGGAAAGACTGGAAGGGAAAGAAAAGTGGTCTTGGGAGCCCTTTTCCTCCAGAGCATTGAGTTGAAGGTGGTGCCTAAGCGCCGGGCCTTTCACAAGAATGGGGAAGGCCCAGCAGAGGATTCGTGCACATCACCAAAGCAACTTTTCAGTCAGCCTTTGTCAGTCTCAGGAGAGAAGTTGGCCAAGGGACTGAAAGCAGGTCTCAGAGACAGTGTGGGAAAGGTCGCTCAGCCAGTATTGAGGCCATATATCTCCATGGAGAAATAGTAGATGTCAGTCTGACCCCATTTCCCAATACCAAAGCACACAGAGGTCTCACAGAAAAAAAAAGGATGGTCTGAAGGCTTGGTTTGATGCTTATCCTGGTGCCCAACCTGTGTGACTTCAGAGTCAAGTCACCACAACTGCTTGGTGTGAATGCCACCCTGGTTTTCCCCTAAATACATTGCATCCTGACTGTCAGAGAATCATACCAGCCCATGCCAGGTGTCTAGGAATGATAAAAGGGAAGAGTTGAGTTGTTCTTGCTTTTAGAAATAACTCTACCATGAAAATTTTGACTTTTAAAAATCTTGACACTTCTGACACTTGTTCTTTCTGGATTAAGAGATTTGTTTTAATGAGTGATAAAGATGGTGAGAGGAAAAACGAACCTTTCTCTCTACAGGGAAATCAGCCCTGAGGGTCCTCCATTACCTTCACCTCCCAGTAAAAGGGCCATTTTATTCTGTAATGTCCCATCCTGTTCAGAGAGGCCCTTGTCATAGGTTCAGTGACTCTTAAGGCCAGAAGCTTGCATGTTCAGAATATGCCTACTATTTTTATTTTTTTAATATATTTTATTGATTTTTTACAGAGAGAAAGGGAGAGGGATAGGAATAGAGAGTTAGAAACATCAATGAGAGAGAAACATCAATTCAGCTGCCTCTTGCACGCCCCCCACTGGGGATGTGCCCGCAACCCAGGTACATGCCCTTGACTGGACTCGAATCTGGGACCCTTCAGTCCGCAGGCCGATGCTCTCTCCACTGAGCCAAACCGGTTATGGCAATGCCTACTATTTTTAAAAAGTGTTTATTTTTATTGATTTCAGAGAGAGAGGGAGAGAGAGATAGAAACATCAATGATGAGAGAGAATCATTGATCAGCTGCCTTCTGCACACCCCACACTGGAGATTGAGCCCACAACCCAGGCATGTGCCCCGACCAAGAATCGAACTGTGACCTCCTGGTTCATAGGTTGGTGCTCAACCACTGAGCTATGCCAGCCGGGCAATAGGCCTACTGTTTTGTGGGGTTGGGGTTTGTTGTTGTTTGTGTGTGTGTGTGTGGAATGGGGTTGGTGAAAACAAGGACTTGGCCTCCCATTTCCCTGTTCTCCAGCAGATTTGGAATTGGGTTGCATGGCTGGTCTACCTAGACCTGCTTGTTGGCGAACCTATAAAGAGACGTGTCAAGCCTATAGGGCTCCAGGCCTTGGGGATTTTTCATATCAGAGCATCATTTGATTCAGTTAGTTCCCTTCAACTCTGTTCTCCTTGGGGTCTATTTTATTTTATTTTTTTAGAAATAAATTTCTGTTGTTTAAATAAGTATATATAATTTTTTTCTATTTTAGAGAGAGAGGAAGGAAAGTGGGGGAGGGGAGGAGAGAGAAACAGAAACATCAATGATGAGAATCATTGATCGGCTGCCTCCTGCACGCCCCCTACTGGGGAGCCTGCAACCCAGGCATGTGCCCTGACCAGGAATCAAAGGGCGACCTCCTGGTTCTCTGAGGTCTATTTTAGAAGATTCTTTGTGGAGATGGGGCAGGGGAGCACAGCAGGCCATATTTTGCTAGCTGCTGCTTGGTGTTTTTGTGCTTGTTTGTACGTTTGTTGTTGTTCACCCAGAGCAAATCTACCCGAAGCCCAGTGCTCTGAGGGGCAGATTTTCATACGGCAAGCCCTGGCATCCTACTTTAATTGGCAGCTCATCTTGTTATTGATAAGAGTGCTGGCGGAGAGACCACGTCTAACAGCCACCAACACCTTGGATTTGTCCTCAGCTTGCTTTGCAGTCAAATGCCTCCTTGGCCTTTGAGCACTGCAGAGGCTTGCCGACCTCAACACCAGGCTGTGTGCCAGTCACGTGTTTACAGCTAGCTCATTAGCCTTGGGGCTTGGCTTTGCCCTTTGCCACAGACAGACTTGGGGATTTGGGTATAGGCTGCTCCTAACATTTGGGAGAGAATTTAAAAGAACTGCTGGGTTTGACAAGCCCAACACTGAGAAAGGAGCAGCATGGTTTTGATAATCTGGGTTGAATCCCATTCCTACAAACAATCCAGCAGAAATACCTGGGAGATGGTAACAATGGAATATTGAGTCCTAAAATAAAATTTCAGTATAACAAACTATATGGGGAATATACTTACTTTATTTCTCTTAATAGCTTTTGTATCAGATGCATTTTGGTGGGGTCTTTTTTAAAAATGGGAGTATCACTTGGACTTTTTAGAAAAGTTTTAAAATTGAGTTTTAGAGAGAGAAGAAGAGGCGGAAGAGAGAAGCGTTGATGTGGATTGAGGACTGACCAAGTGAGCCCCACCAGCCAGATTTTTTAAATGACAGTTTTCGTGTTGGTTCATTGTCAGGTATCCACCCACCTTGGTGTACCAGAATGGTAGCATCGGCTCTGTTGAAAATATGGATGCAGGCAACTACCCACCACCACCACAGTCAGACTCCACTTCTCTACCTTCTTCCTTCTCTGAGGAGAGCTTACCTCCGCCGCCAGCAGAATTCAGGTAAATGGTGGTACCTTTTCCATCTACTCTGGGTGGTTAAAAACTCAAGAACAAAATAACAGTTCCAAATCCAGGCCAGGACACTAAAATAAGTTCAGGAAACTCTGTCTAGATAATAGAAATAATTAACATGTATTATGTGTTTGTAAGGTGCCAGGCATTATACCAAACAGTATATATGTTACTAAATTCCCACAAGAATCCTCTTGAGACAGGTACCCATTTCACAGATGAGTAAATGAGAAGGCACAGAGAGGTCAATGAACTTACCTAAGATCACTGAGCCAGTAAGAGGCAGAGTCCAACCTGATTGGAAAGCAGGTCAGTCTGACTCCAGAGCCTGTGTTCTTTACTACCACCTATACCTGGAAAGATAGAAGTCACCAAACTTACCTCTTGCATGTTACTTAGCTTTAACTCCGCATGAATTGAAGTGGTATAATTTACCACCCATAAAATACTTATTTATGACACCTTGTCCAGTTATCTAAGAACTTAGCACAGTCACCTTTTTCTTCTGTTGCTTCTGGTTAATTTCACTGTTGGATAGACTCTCCAGAAAGAATGAAACAAATGCTCATTTTGATATTCATCCGTGTCCCTGGCAGAGATATACAGGGGAAGAGTTAGCACGTCATGGCTGACAAGGGCTCTGAGGAGTATCTGGGTTTGTTTCCTCACGGTTACTTTTCCCTTTCGGGTGCCTGGTATACTTTTCCCCTCTGACACTGTTCAGTCAGAGGTCGGATATGTTGAGGACCCCTCAGATGGAAACCTAAAGCAAATGCTCTAAGCATCCCACCCCCGCCCCCTTCTTCTTGGCTCTTGAAACCACTAATCCCAAACTCTGCCTCCCAAATCACTTCCTGCCGGCTGTCCTGTCAGATGCAGCTAAGGCTGGAAGGTCTGTGGTAAATGGCAAGATGGTAGCTTTTCTAAGGAGTAGCTGTTGGTACCGGGCAAATACAAAGGTGGGAAAGAAGCCCTCAGCCTCACCCGTGGCCTGAGAGCCTGCAGCCGAGCATACCAGACCCGGGAGAGGTGCCACTTAGCCCTCTCGCCACCCGGGTTGAGTTTGGTGGCACATCCCTTTCCTGTCTCTGCCCACCCTCAGACCCTCCATTCCTTCTCAGGTTTTCACACATGAAGCTGAAAGTACCACTGCCTAAGTCTGCCCCACTCGGGTTTGGTCAGCTTGGCTTGAGTTCCTGCCCTCACAAGACCTAGTGAATGTGAACACCCTGAGGAACAGGGTGGGTGGGTGGTGGTGAATTTTTATTCCAGTTCTTTCTTGCGTGCCTTTGTAGCCTGGCTCCAGGATTAGACTGACGGTAATTTCCGGGGGGTTCAGGAGCGTGCCTTTTCTCGGAGAGCTGAAAGTTTGAGGGGAACTAGGAGGTGATCTTGGCTCGCCCTTACCTGTATAGGAATCCCAAGTCTACATCTTTCAGGTAGTTTTTCTCTCTCTGCTTAAGACTCGTCTGCTGATGGAAAGGAAGCTCATTACTTTACAAGACTGCCCATTTGATATTGGTCTGTTCTGACTATTTCCATTTTTTTTCCTATTTGAACCAAAATGAAATGATATAATCAACCAAAATAAACCTAGGCTTATAGAGTAGCTTAACTATAGGTAGTATTTGCATCCTGAAAGTGATGGGTCTTTTTCTTTGTCCTTTTAGCTACCCAGCAGACAACAACCAAAGGGCATCTGGCTTAGCTGGACCCAAAAGATCCAGTGTGGTCAGCCCAAGCCATCCACCACCTGCTCCTCCTCTGGGCTCTCCACTGGGCCTCAAATCCGCCTATGCTCCACCCTCGACCCCTCCGCCTCCGCCTCCAATGATAAACGTCCCTCCCCCACCTCCACCTGGAGGACTTGGGTCCCCAGTGACCCCACCGCCACCTTCACCACCCTCTTTCCCACCTCACCCCGATTTTGCTGCCAGCCTGCCCCCCCCCCACCACCACTTTCTGATACACCCAAGTCCAAGTCCTCCTTGCCTCCTGTGAGCGACGCCCGCAGCGACCTGCTTTCAGCCATCCGCCAAGGTAAATCCAGTGGTGGGTCCAGGACAGGAAGCGTTGTCTTTCTGCAGCTGGGATGGCTGGTTGAGGGTGGGTGAGGGGTTGGTGCCCTTCCCAGGAGTAGTTTTCATTGGAAGGGGAGAGATGGGACCCAGGCCGAGGATCAGCCTGAAGAAAATCTCACCCTAAAAATAGGGGGATTTAGATTTCTTCCCACCCTGTTTTAACGTAAAGAATTCTTAACCTGGGATCTTTGAACGTCTTGAAAATGTGTGCTTTGTGTGTGTTTGCATCCATTTTGTAGCCCAGAGAACAAGAATCACATCTGGAAGGTTCTTGTTCAGCTGAACTCAGTCATTCCTTGTCCTTCACCTTTCTGCCTTTTGTATCCTTCCTGTGTTCACCCCTTTTCCTGTCCTCCTCCCTCTTGTCACCGTCTCTCCCCTCCTTCCCCTCCATCATGGAGCATTTATTCTCTTAGTCAGAGGCCAGGTTTGATACCACGGGGCTAGAGTGGTTTCTTCTGCTTGGGACCCCCGGGAACTGAAGCATTGTCTAGAGGAGACAACCTAGGGCAGCTGAGCTCTGTGGTAACTGGTGAATCGGGCAGACGGTGTGCTCCTAGGTGGCGGGGTGGCCAGTCCCCCTCCTGAGGAGTAGCCCCCTCACTAGCCTGAGAGCGACATTGGGAAGGTGGCAGGCTTCTGTTCAGAGACACCTACAGCACCAGGGCCACCATGTCATAACCCTTCACCTTCATTTTTTCCTTGCTCCTCCTTTCCAAGAGGATCCTTCTTTTTCACTGTCCTTTCCCATATTCCACCAGCCAGTGGCCATCCCCCCTTTCTCATTCCTGGATCGATTCTGAGACCAACTCACCTTCTTAACCTCCTGTCTGTCTCCCACCAGGCTTCCAGCTGCGCAGGGTGGAGGAGCAGCAGGAACAAGAGAAGCGGGACGTGGTGGGCAATGACGTGGCCACCATCCTGTCGCGTCGCATTGCTGTGGAGTACAGTGACTCAGAAGATGACTCCTCTGAGTTTGATGAGGACGACTGGTCGGATTAGCTCTTTCTGCCTCTGCCTACCTCTTCTCTTTTCTTCTTACCTGCCTTTTGTGACGCCTACCCCAGCAGTCCCAGGGGAAAAGGGGGGAGGGAAAAAATAATTTCAAGGGCCAAAGCCTTCCCTGAAGCTACCAAAGATATATCCATGTGCTTCCTCCAAATCAACGTGTTTCCCACCTCACACAGCCAGGCCCCATGGGGCCCCTGAAGGGGCCAGTAGCTGAGATGTTCTCTCTTCCCTTCATATTGAAGAGAAGGGAAAACCCCAAAGCTGATCCCTTTGAGTGGGTGTAAATTGGAGTTGGTGCCTTCCCCTAGGAGCCGTTTTCCACTGTGGTCTCCCTAAATCCTGGCCCTCAGCTACTTCGAATAATGCCAGCCACTTCGTGGTCCTAAAGCCTGCATGGACACAGCTGGCCCCTTGCCCATGCCCTGGGAGGTCGGCAGGCTGCGTGCCCAGCAGCCAGACTGCTGCACCCTTCTGCCCCGATCAGCAGGGTGAGGCTGCCGTTTGCTAAGCTCTTTCTGTATCTGGATCCCCTTTATTCCAGGAGCCATCAAGCCCCTAAAGAAGGTATCAACCCCTCTGCCCAGAAATGATGCCTTTGTGAAAACTGAGGTGTCTGCCTCCCTCCCAGGCCCCGTCTCCTGAGTGTGGTGTTTGGGTTTCCTTTACATGCCTCTCCGTTGTCACCAGGTGCCTCTGGGCACCAAAGCCCAGGTCTGACCTCTAATACCCATGACCAAACTAGCCCTGACACAGGGATCTGGGCCTCTGCTGGCTGTCAGGAGCCACGCTTAGAGACTGGGAACTGCAGGGCTGGAGGAACGGGGGCACACCGTGGGCCCTCCCCTCTTAGTGATGCTGAAGTCTACAGATGGGAAGTGACTTGCTCAAGGTTGCGCAGTTGGATCGTAACGGGGCTAGAGCCCGGGGTTTCTGATTCCAGGTCACCTGTGCTTTCTGGGACCAAATAGTGGGCACCTGCTGGAGCCTGAGCAGAGCATTCCCGGCTCTGCTGCTTCCAACCTCACCATAAGGGGGGTCCCAGCAGGAGGGCTCGGGGCCTGTGCCTGGCCCTCGGTGCTGCTCAGACCCTTGTGGCCTCTCGTAATTCTTTGCTTCCTCTTTGCCATCTATCTACCAGCCAACTGGCCTTGGGAACTGCCCGATTGGGGGACTAGAGGTAGTGAGAAGGGAGGGGGTGGGCAGCTTTGACAGGTGCTGTTTTCAATTCCTCTTCAACTCCTCCCCCTTTTATTTCCCCAATTTCTGCTCAAGGTAGAAACTTCAGTCCCTCAGGCTGGCAGCCGTGGCAGGTAGCTGCCTGGGGGACCTGGCAGCCCTGAGGAAGGCTGAAAACAGAGGGACTGTAGGTCTTTTTCCAGCTCCCTTCCTCACTACACAGTGATGTTCCCGCCCTTCCTCCCCCTTTTTCCCAGAGCTAATACACAGGTGCTATTATTCAGAAAAAACTGGTCAGCTTTGGCCAGCAATGAGGTTTCTTCTCTTCTGCCCCAACTATTGTGTAGCCTCTTGTGCTGAAACCGGCTTCTCCTGGCTTCTGCTTTCAGAGCCCTGAAACAAAGAGAAACAGGATCTGTCTGTACCCCGCACAGCAAATGGCTGTAGTAATTGCCAAAGCCCTCATAAACCCTCCGGCTTGAGGAGAGTGTAATCATGGGGACCGCGCTGTGCCCGGCTGAATGCGCCCCCTCTGCCTGTTTTCCTTGAACTCGGGCCTGTAGGGCCAGCATGCCCTCCTCCTGGGGCTCCTCGGACTGCCCCTCCCCCTCCCCCAGGTCAGTGTCTCTGGCACAGGGCCAGCACCTGGCTAGTGCTGAGCATGCCAGGCTGCATGTGTGCCCTGCCTCGCTTCCCACCTTGCACTTGGAAGCTGAAGGTAACATTCTTCAGAACCCTGAAATGGCTGTTGAAGGTGTCCCCCTGCAGCCAGGAGTGGGGGAGAGGCAGGCGGAGGGCAGTGGTTCTCCCAAATAGGAGTCCTGGGGCCTGGCCAGGCCAGGGTTTGGGCCTAATGGCTTTGACTAAATTACTCCCATCCCCCTCCTTCCGGAAAAAGGGGGAGTCAGTGCCACTCGCTATCGTTCTGCTCTGACCTTGAAGGGGGTGGTGTTGGCCTGGCTCTGGAAAGGACAGTCCGCTGTGGAAAGGTCTGGGGGCAGGAGGAGGTGGGGAGGGGCACTGCCTGTGGAAGGTAGGATTAGATCATTAGCTCAGTGACCTCCTAGGGTTTCGATGTGCTGTGTTCTCATCCTACAGCTGGTTTGGTAATGATCTGCAAGTCCCGGAGAGCAACAGCATAGCTCTGCCTGACGTTCTCATTAAAATCTATGCAGCCAAGCTCTGTGCTTTGTAGCAGCCGGCTTCCTCGGCTGGGGGGTGGGAGATGGGGGGAGGGGTGGGCTAGGACCCAGTCAGCTGGGCTCTACTTACACATTGGTACACCCCCAAAAATGCTGCTTTAAACCCAGAGCCCTTTAAAATGATGAAGGACCCTATGCAGGTAATCATGTCTTTAGAATCCTGTAATTGTGGAATGCAAAGTTTAGTGATTATTTAAACTGGGCCCAGGCTGGTCAGGGTATGGAACAATGGCCCATAAGGACTCTTAAGTGCTGAGGCCAAAAAAACCACCTTCCTCTCTGGTCGGCTCAGCCCAGGGAACCTGCCCCCATTCCTGGGGCCCAGGGGCCCAGCTCCTGACCGTCAGGCAGTGTCAGAAGTGATTGGTGGCTTTGCCCAGGTGGTGAGATGAGTACATTCCAAAGGAGCCGCCTGGGGGAGGGGGCGGCTCTTGTCCCTCGAAGCTCAGAACAGCAGGCCCAAGCTCAGCTAGCCTCCAGGAGCTCGAGCGCCCTCAGAAACGACCTGGCCAATGTCACCGCAGAGCCGCGCATGTTGTCAGGCTAATGTGAAATCTCTTCCCGTGGCGCCAAGCTTCTGCTCTGCAGCGCCGGCTGGGACAGATTGAGGTCTCTTGGCTTTGGTGACCCTCTGCTTAAGCATTCCCACCGTGTCCCCGCTCTGCTCTCCCCGTGCCTCCCGCTGCAGCCCCTCCCCGGGCTCAGGGCCAGGGCTTCCTGCTGGGCTCCAGCTGACCTGGGGGCCAGGTGTTCCCGAGATGCACCTGGCTCTGTGCCTCCATGAATCACAGGGAACAAAGTTATTGTATTGACTTTCAGTTAACGCACTTGAGAAACTAACCAATTTTTACTTACTGTCTAGAATGATGTACCTGTAGGAGAGTGACCATAAAAGTGCCTTCTTTTCTCTGATGTAAACATTTAGAAGGACCTGGACCAATGGATTCTTGGGTGTGTGTTCCACATCAAGATCTTAGGGAGTGAGCACATATGGAGTGGGGATACAGCCTGAAATGGGTCCCTTTCCCCCGCTCCCCTCCGAGGATGGAAAAGGAGCTTCGGTTAGAGATCTGAGCTGTGGGGTTAAGCCAAACCCCTAAGTGACCCTTTCCCTTTGCCCTACTGCTCTCAGGTCCTTAGAAGGGTGTCCAGTACCTTAAAGCCCTGTGGCTCCAAGTCTGGCCTCGTTTGCTTCCCTGCCAGGCTCATGTGTGTACATTAGCTCCCCAGTGACCTGAAGATTCCATGTAACTGTATACACGCGAATACGTAAATGCCAATGTTTTAAATAATTTGATAAAGTCTTTGTAGCCACTCGGCCACCTCTGGTGTGTGTGTGTGTGCGCTTAATGGGAGAAGTGGTTAGAAGGGGGTCCAGTGTGTGTGTGCGGGGGGGTCGGGGGGAGGCAGCAGGCCCAGGATGTGGTGGTGCACCCTGTGGGAGGTGGGGATGAAGGCAGAAAACCCAGGTCCCCAGGCCCCCTCAGCCAGCTGACGGGAGTGTGCTGGGACCAGGGGAGACGAGCTGCTGGCAGCCCCGAGCCGCAGCAGGAGCAGCACAGGCTGAATGCTGATGCCGCCTCCCAACATCTGGCCGGCATCTTGTCTGTTTCTCAGACCCAAGCAACTTACCTTAAATAGAACAATTTACAGTGGAATCTGATAAAAGGTTTAGGCTGCTGCACGCCCCTCTCCAGGCGAGTGGGCTGGGTGTATATTCTGACCCAAAAAATGACCTGCCCAGGAAGCAACGGTTGTGGTTGTTCCGAGCACAGCTGCTGTGGTCAACTGTCCCTGGGGGTGACTTAGGAACAGACACCCAGTTCCGGGCCCAGCAGAAGAGGGGCGGGAGCAGGGCTGGTGGCTGGTCATGCCTGCGCTTCGGAGTCACCCACTGGCGTCCCAGGAGAAGGGGCAGGCGTCTTGAATTGTCAGCAACTGCTGCGCCAGCCACTCAGCTCATCGCTGAAGGTGGGGGTCCAGGGGAGGGGGCGTGGGAGCCACTCGCCCCTGTGGAGGCCCTCGCTCCACCCTCCTGCTCAGGCCTGTGTTTAGTCAGCACTTGGCTTCCCAAGGCTGGTGACTGACAGGCAGCCAGACGCCTGCCCTGGGAGAAGACAAAATGGTGTGGGAGCCGCCCTTGCTGGGGAGTTGGAGGGAAGGAATGTGGTCTGGAAGCCAGAGGTCCGAGCTTCCATTCCGGCCTCTCCACTGGAGCTGTCCCTCTGCACGTCGCTTCCCCGGGGCTGATCCTGGGAACAGGAGCATTTACCGAGCGCCTATGACCTGCCCCACACGGCAGACATTTTGTTTCAACCTTAGGAGGCAAGGGTCTCCCAAATTGCACATGAGAAAAACAGGTCCAAAGGGGTAACGCGAGTTTGCTACGATCACATAACTGGCCGGGAACAGCCACCGTTCCGAGCTGGCGCTCTGTCCACCGTGCAACTTAACAGCGTTCAGAATCTGCAGCTAGAATCCCGGTCTTCGGTGTCATAAGGGGCATGTTAAAGGGTTTCCCTTTTTGTCCACTTCCTGGTGCCAGTTTTACAGGTAATGGTTAGTTTTGCTTTTGCTTTGAAATCAAGGGAGCTAGACCGAGGTTCTAGCTGTTGTAGACCTTCAGAGTTGGAAATACCTGCCCCCAAAACTCCCTGGGTTTCGGATGGGGCTTCCCACAGACACACCCGACTTAGTACGGGCACACACACCTGTCCAGATGCACACGTTCATGCACATTCAGATGTACACACACAAATAGGTACCTACACACGTCAGTGGGCACAGGGACACTGGCCCTGCTCTTGTGTAAACAAAGACATCCGCACACAGTTACAGGAATACACAAAATCGCAGGCAAACCTCACAACGTGCTCGGGAGCCACCCCTCCCTTCTCACTGCCAGTTCCTCACTGCCCCCTCCTGGCCACCCAGTGGCCAGGGCAATCTGGCTCTATTTCCTGTAAATTCTGAGGGTGGTTGTCAGCTAGTTCCCCCCGAGATCATGAGGTGGAGAGCGTTTTCAGGTGCTCAGCCCCAGGAGATGAGGGTGGAAGGTGGAGGACAAAAAGAAACCGTGTGGCTGAATTGTCAGTCCCGCGGTGTCAGTTCTGCAACTGCACACATTCTCATACACAGAGGAGCAGACGTGCTGGCTGCAGTCAACAGATCTGTAGGCTCCCACCTTGCTCTCCCTCTCTGGGCCTCGCCTATTTATATAGATATATAGATATAATGATTTCATAGAGGCAGGGAGAGGGAGAAAGAGATAGAAACATCAATGAACCCAGCTGGTGTGGCTCAGTGGTTGAGCATTGACCTATGAACCAAAACAAAAGGTCACGGTTTGATTCCCGGTCAGAACACATGCCTGAGTTGCAGGCTTGGTCCCCGGTGTGGGGCGTGAAGGAGGCAGTCGATCAATGATGCTCTCGTCACTGATGTCTCTCTCTTCCTTTCTGGGAAGGAAGGAAGGAAGGAAGAAAGGGAAGGGAAGGGAAGGGGAAAAGAAAAGAAAAGAGAAAGAAAAAGAAAAGATCAGAGAGCATTATTAATCAGTATGCGTCCTGACCAGGAATCAAACCATGATGTCCTGGTTTATATATCGACGCTCAACCACTGAGCCACACCAGGTGGGCCTCACCTGGTCAGTGAGGAGCTGACCATGATGACATAGGCAGGCCCTTCCACTCTGGCATCTCATCATCTTTGGAACGAACCCCTCCCTAGACGCGTGTGCCTGAATAAAGCACATCCATAAACATGACCCCTTGGTCTCCTCAGACCGGTCCTGGGAGGGTTACCAACACAAAGCTTTCTATTCCTATTTTGCAGTTGAGAAAATGATGCACAGAGAGGCACGGCAGCTTGCCCAAAGTCACACAGCAAGTTGGTATCCAGCATGGAGACAGAAACTCTTTTTTCCAATGCCCCAGGTTGCCTACAACAGAGTAGAATACTCTGTGGGCTTGTCTCAGAGCCAACGAGCTCAAGAGGGGCGGGAGCAGGGCTGGTGGCTGGTCATGCCTGCGCTTCCTGTACAGATTTTGGTATCAGGAGCAACAGAGGCTAAAGCCGGAAGCTCTGCCAGGCAACTTGGAACGTGGGTGGGTTCCACCACTCCCCACCGCACCAGCAGACTGCACCAACCTTAACCTTCCTTTCCCCCTGCAGAGCCAGGGCAGGCAACAGGAGTTCCTCCCTATGCTGTGGTCACTTGTAGCTTGTTCAGGTATTTACATGCATGTGAGTGGGGTGCACATGCGTGCCTGGGCTCCACAGTGTGCACTCGCACATGTAGATGTGTGGTCGTGCATGCCTGCAAACATACTTAGGAGAACATTATAGGCATGTGTAGTATGTATGTGTTTGCAAGCCTGTACATGTGACTGCATTTGTGTGTTTAGGTAAAGTGTGTGTTTTTTAAGTTTATTGATTGATTTTAGAGAGAGAGGAAGAGAAAAAGAGAAACATCAAATTGTTGTTCCACTTATTAATGCATTCATTGGTTGATTCTTGTATGTGCCCTGACCAGGGATTGAACCCGCAACCTTGGTGTAGTGGGACGATGCTCTAACCAACTCAGCTACCTGGCCGGGACGCGAAGTGTGTTTTGATGTACATATAAATGGTCTCGGGATATCTGGCAGGCGCATTTATGTACATGTCAGATTTTGCTTGCATGCGTACTGGGTTTGTTCATGAGTGTACTTGGGTATGTGCAAATGTTCACATTCATTTGTGTGAGAAGAGGGTGAGGCATGTCCATGCACACGACTGGTGAGTGTGTAAATGTGCAGGAAGGGACTGTATATATGTGAATCAGAGGAGGGCCCTCACAAGAAAACACAATGTTGGTGTTCCCCTCGCCCTGGTAGAGGGGGTGCCCCGCCTGGCTGCAGTCAGGCACTGGGCTTACAGCACCCTCACCCTGCTCCTGCACTCTATTCCCCAGACCCATCCTGCCTAGCCAATTTGCAGCCTCTTGCTCCCAGCTCCTGAGAAGGCCTGCAGCAAAGTCAAGGGGCTGGTGGCCAATTAGCGAGGGGGTTAATCAGGGATCTGGGGACCCCCGGGGGGTGGGAAGCCAGAAGGCAGGCATTGGGGCTGGCAGGAGCTGCCAGGAGCTGCCGCTGCCTGTCAGGCTGGAGGAGGGGAGAGGCAGGGAGGGGAAGCTGAACCAGCTCAGCTCCATGGTGCTGGGGAAACGGAGGGCCTGCCTGTGAATTCATGATTGCTGAGCATCGATAGCAGCGGGGAGCCTGTGCAACTGGCTACACTGTGTGCAAAAGGGCAGGTGCTGGCCTTCATTCAACGTGGTCCTGTATGCAAATGTGTATACATGACTATGGATATTATCCGCTTACAGGTACAGTTTCATGTCTACATATGTGGGTGTGCAGATGGGTCTGGGACTGCATATTCAGACCCATGTGCACACATGTATACAAGGATAAGTCTGTGTCTGTGTGTATACACATGTATGCAAAGGTAAGTGGGTGTTCCTACATGCAACCATGTGCACATGAAGTTGACATGGTCTGTATACATGTGTGCAATGATATATCTGTGTACAGATGCGTGTACCAGTGTGCAGATAATCTGGTTATACTTGCATGTCTGGGTGAGTATGCATGTGCGTATTCTCTGAACAGCTAGCGGCCTGGACCACCATGTGGGCCTGCACGCACGTGCCTGTGTGCAAGTGCCTGTGTACACAAAGGTCTCAGCACGTAGGGAGCTGAGCTCTGGGGGCTGGAGGGCTCCAGGTTCCAGAGGAGAATCTGATAGACAGACTTGCCGCAGCCCCCAGCCCCGGGAGCCTGTTTTCCTGCCTGCAGAAGCTGTGAGCCCGTGAACTCATCTTATATTAATAGCTGCTGTCTCCTCACTTATTGCAGGGAGAAGCGGTCATGGCCCCAGCAGGGGCTTAGCACTCAGGCTGCCCCCACCCCCGGGAGGAAGGGGAGAGATGGGCCCCACCTCCAGCACAGGGCCCACCCCAGCAGGAAGGCATGGCTCTGGGCCCCAACCCTTGCTTCCCCCAAGTCCAGGGGACCCAGCTCACCCTCCCAGACCTCCGTAGCTGGGTGGGGTTGGAAAACTGGCAGAGGCAGACAGGCTCGAAGTCTTGGCTACCCACCCCCAACACACACACACACACACACACACACACACACACACACACACACACACAGGCATGCGGTCTTGAGCAGCCCCAGGCTGTGCACCAGATGAGTCTGAGGCTGAAAGAGACATAGAAGACGTCAGCTTGAGAGGCAGACATGCCCCTTCTCTCAGGGGCCCTCAGCTGGAGGGGGAGCACACAGCCTTGCCTCCAGGAGCCCCCATCCCCACAAGGCGAGAAGTGCAGCAAGGTGTGTTGTATAAAGCACGTCACAGTTACAGGGCTTAGCCAGGGAGGCTTCCTGGAGGAGGGTGCACGGGGAGATCCTGAGGTGCATCTGAAGAATCTGAGGAGAGAGGAGCCATCACATGGGTACACAGGCTTCAGCCTGGAGACAGGTCCTGACACCCCTCAGGGTGGGCCCAGGACCCAGGGCAGAGACTCCAGATGCCGGCCCCAGAAATACCTCCTGTCTGCACACCGCACCCGGAAAGACGGGGGTCCACGGGATGGGGGCCCACCACAGGCCTTCCCAGATGGGAGGCTGGCCAGCATTAAGCCCTGCTGAGCCTGCAGCCAGAAGCTGGGACGGGGAAGCCATGGACCACGCCCGCCCAGGGTGGGATGGGCACCGGTCACTCTGCTTCTGGGCCTTGGTAGGGGCTTCTGTGGAGCATGGGGAGTCCGTCCAAGGCCCTTCCCCACACCACTCTCCTGTGTGGGTTTGAGCAAATGGCTGTTCCTCTTCGGGCCTCAGACTCCCCAGCTGTACAATGAAGGGGTGGGCAGGATGCTCTGAGGGCCCCATCTCCAGGCTTTGGCCCAGGGGGCTGGGAGGTGCGCTAGTCAGAGCTTCCTCTTCAGCCACACCTCACACTGGCTTTTGCCCTTTCCTGGTGAACACACTGTTTCTGGTTCCCAAACCCCTTAACTCAGGGTCCTGCACACTTAGTCTTCAAATGCACCCAAAGGTACAAGCACATGCTTACCATCACTTACCTTTGCATAAAAAAGAAGCAACCCCAGCTCCAGAATTTCAAGACCCCACCCAACTACCTCCCAAATGTGGCCACTGGCTCAGAATGAACCCCAACACCAGTCAGGGTCCAGAACGTCCTAGGTCCCAGGCTTGGAAGGAGAGGCGGTGAGAGGCCAGTAGATAAAGCACAAGTCCTAGAAACACGTTCCCTTGGTCCATTCACCAGTCCCCCTCATCCTCAGTTTTCTCATCTGTAAAATGGAGAAGATATTACCTGTGCCCTGGGATGCTTGTTAGGCATAAATGAGGTAACCCATGCAGTACACTCAGCACAGTGCCTAGCACACAGTATATACCCATGATTAGAGTGGGTTGATGCTAAGGAAAGTAACAGCTTTGAGTATATACTTCATGCTAAAGCCCCAAACAAAAGCTAATGTGGGCAGGGATGGAGGGTGGGAAGGCATCCTCAACCCAAGAAGCTTCCGGCATCCTGGTTCCTGTCCCCCAGGAAGGTGGGGTCCTTGTCTGGTAGTACCTGGGTCTGAGCAGAGGGGCCCATCAGATTAACACCCTGGGGTGGGAGTGTCACCTGTGTCACCTGCCAGCCACACTCCACCCTGGATCTCCAGCTTCCCATGTCCCCCAACAGGCACCCAGGTGTGGGTTAATCCTCCCTTCCCATGGTTTCTCCCGTCAGGCCCGCTCCATTCCCTCCGCACACAGACAGCAATATTTATTACAAAATCAGTTTTTATTGAGGGTTGGGTCAGGGACAGGACTAGGGAATGCTCTGGGGGCCATACCCAGATTGGCAGAGAGGGTCAGGTGTTGGCTCGCATCCTGCCTCCTCTAGGGCACCTCAAAGTGAGGCCTGGCTGCCAGGCCTCGGCTGTGGCGCTGGACACCAGACTAGAGTGGAGTTGGGGTTGCCACGTTTTATCCTGGCTGCTTGGCCAGGCTGGTTTTCCCCAAACCGCCACCAGAGGGCAGCAGGCCCCCAGCGCAGAGGAATTCTCGGTTGCTCAGGTGATGGCTTCTTAAAAAAATAAAAAACCAGAGGCTGGTGTGTTCCCCTCACAAACCCCAGAGGGGTGGGCCTGGGGAGAAGGTTCTGGTTTATATGATCTCTTCAATAAAAAATAAGCGAAAATAATAACAAAATACGTGGTTTCTCTTTCTCCCTTCCCCCCCCTCTAGGAACTGAGGTCAGAAATGGGGGTGTGGGGACCGGGAGTACCCTGGTATGGCCTGGATTTCAAGGTGTTGGTCTCTTTTCCCCCCTTATACCCATAAATAAATTCATAAATAAATAAATACTAGCTATTCTCTTTGTATGTGCACACATATATATATATAGATAAGTCTTTTTCTCTTTCTCCTAGCTAGGCAACTGAGTGGCTAAATCTCTGACTCTAGCTCAGAAACTCAAAAGTAAAGTGACATGATCAAGGTCAAGGGAGGGGGGAGCCCAGGGACTGAAATGGCACTGTACAGCACCCAGCAGCATCCTGGAACTCCAAGCCAACTGGGCTGTGGACTTTTCTGAGTGGAACCCTGACCATCTGAACATTCTAGAACCATGGAGCCAGCTGGGCCCTGCAGAGATCTGAACAGAATCCTGTGAAACACCCCGTGTCCTAGAACTCCAGAACTAGCTGGGTCTCGGGGGTGTGGAGCTGGGGGTTGGAACAAAACCCTGGAGGACCTCACATTCCGGAATTCTGTAGTGATCAGGGTGAAGGGTCACCAGTATGCGACTAGACATCGCTGGGGGAACGGGACCGGAAGGGAATCTTGGAAGAGGAACAGCAGCAGCAGATGGCCCACAGTACCTTCTGCACATCCTGGTTGCGGAAGGCATAGATGATGGGGTTGATCATGGAGTTATAGGTGGCAGGGAGCAGGGTGAGATAGGTGTAGAGAGATGGGGAGTGGGCATCGCCCAGCAGGCAGTAGACGGTGAAGGGCAGCCAGCAGGCGGCAAAGGTGCCAAGCACCACGGCCAGTGTGGCAATGCCCTTGCGGGTGGCCACATAGTGGGAGGCAGGCAGCAGGTGCCGCTGAAGGGCAATCTGCTGGGCATGGCGGCAGACGATGCGACAGATCTGGGCATAGAGCTGCAGCATGATGCCAAACACCATGAAGAAGGCAACGGCCAGGACCACCAGATGGTTCTTGGAGAGCGGATATACCACGCCGCACACGGTTGGGGTATCCAAGCAGTTCCAAGCCAGCACAGGCAGCAGCCCCATGCCCAGCGCACCCCCCCACACTAGGGCCAGCATCACATAGGTCCGAGTCATTGTTGTCTCTGAGTAGTAGGTGAGGGCATTGTACAGAGAAAGGTAGCGATCTACAGTGATGGCCAGTAGGCTGCCAATGCTGGCGGTAAAGGCCATTGCCAGGACGCCAACCAGCACCAGGCTCATCTCAGCTGAGCCAATGCAGAAGACAGCAGCAAAGTGCAGGACCAGTCCCAGGCCTGCCAGCAGGTCGGCAATGGCGAGGCTGCCCACGAGCAGGAACATGGGGGCACGGAAGGCGGGAGTGCCCACGATGATGGCCACCACCAGCGCGTTCTCGCAGGACACCAGGGTGCCCGAGATGCACAGCACCACATCCCACGCCCTGGGTGAGGGCAACGGTGCGGCTGGGCCTGTGGGCCCCTCTGCTAATCCCATGCTGCTCACGTTCACGTTGCCTGGGCCAGCGGAGAGCCACGCCAGGGGGCTGCCTGCACCCCACATCTTGGTACCTGTAGGAGAAAGGCCTGTGAGAAATTGGCAGGGTTAGGTGCCGGGTAGGGGGGTCTACAGGAGCTGAGGTGCCTCTCTGGATACTTTGTGGGTGTCTCTCCACAAGATGCTTGGCTGGTCCCAATGTCTTGTCCCCACACTCATGCCCCAGGATTCCTTCCAGGATACCCTAGTCCCCTCCCGTGTTCCCAGGCCAGCACGGGTCTCTTTTCCTGGGGATTCCTGTCCGAGTATCTTCATCTCCCTTCCAACTCCCTGGGTCCTGCAGGCCTCTTCCTTCCACGTGTATGACTAGAGCCCAAGCAGATGAAGGACTTCCACAAGTAGAGGGAGCTTGTAAGATCCCGGGGATGCTGGGGAAGGCAGCGCTGGGGGAGGGAAACACATCTCAAGACTGAAGGCAGCTCTGCTCCCTCCCCATCAGGGAGGATGACGCTCAGTTTCTGAGGCTGCCAGACCCCTCAAGATTCCCAGCACAGCCAGCCCCAGGCCCCGCCCCTAGGGAGTGCGGTGACGCTCTCGCCAGCCCCCACCCTGCACTCCTAGGGTGACAACACCTGGGAACTCAGCTCTACCCGCACACATACCCGCCCAGATTTCTGCCCAGGCCGGACCCTTCTTTCTGGGTCTTTGGAACAGACACCCCCTGCTGGAAGCCCGATTCCTGAGGCAGACCCCTCCGGCCCAGACACCTGGACCTGGGGCCTGACTCCGCCTCCTGCCCGGAAGTCTGGATCCCTAAGTCAGACACCTCCTCCTGCCCAGACTCCTAGGTCCTGTCCAGCCGCCTCCTGCCAGCCCAACCTCAGATGACCATCAGTTCCCAGGGCCTCGGGTCCTTGTAGGAGTGCTCACCCCCCGCCGGGCCACCGTGCTGATGGCGCTCAGCACCCGGTCACTGGGTCCCACCTGCTAGCCCAGAATCTGGGTTCCAGGTCTTGACCTCCGACCCTGGCCCGCTGCTGGGAGCCTGACAGCCGCCCCAGCGCCCCAGCATCCTGCGTGCCCTCCCGGACGCCTGGTGACCGCGGCGGGGACCGATACTCACCTCTCGGGTCCAGGCACTGCCGGGCCGCGCAGGAAGGTTCCAGTCGGGTCTGGGCAGCGCAGGGTGTGAGCGACCCCCGGCTTGGCCCGCGCTGCCCTTGACGCGGCGCCCTCTGCGGGCCGGGGGTTTGGGGGGCGCAGGTGGGAGAGCCTTGGAAACGTATCAGAGGGCTGCGGGGGTGGGGAGGCCGCGGAAAGGGGCCCGGAAAGGCCGGGGGGTGATGGGACCCTCAGGTGGCAGAGGAAATCTGACGAAATCCAGGTGGTGGAGACCGAGTGATGGGTCTAATGGCCTCCCGGGTGAGGTGACGGAGACAGGAGCGCGAGGGAGCCTCGGGGGGAGGTGGGTGGCAGTGACGGTATGAGCGTGGGGACAGGATCTTGGGGGATGGAGGCTGAGGATGCTGACGTCGAGGGAAGCCTCCAGGGCAACCATACAGTGTAGGGATGACTGTGGCATGAGGGGGTGCAGAGATCCCAGGGTGGCAGAGGCAGCGGCCAGGGAGGATGTTCAGGGGATGATGGAACTTCGGGTCACCATGACCCGTCACGGGTGCTGAGTACTGAGGTGACAAAGCTACTTCAGTGAGAAGGGCTGTGGGGTCCTCCGGTGACGAGAGCAGGTGGCTGCGGCGAGGGGCCTGGGGTGATGGACAGGGTAGAGGGTCTGGGCCGACAGTGGTCAGGCAGGAAGTTGCTTCCAGGGCAGGTCTTCATGATGCTGAGGCTGGGATAAGAGGCTGGGCGACCTCACTCGTGTCGGCTCGACAGCACCCTCACAGCACAGGAGGGCTGAGTCTGGCACGATTTCAAAACCTGAATTATTTATTCAAGAATCTGAAAAGCCAGCAGCATAGTGTGTATGTGGGGGAGTTAGTGGGGGGGGACTTCCCCGAAGCAGCTGGAGAGAGGGATCCAGGAAGAACTTGGAAGCAGAAAACCTGGCAGCTTGGTCCCAGCACAGGCCCCTCTCCACCGCCCATCTTGGGCATCCTGGCCCCGGGGGGCATGGAGAAGGAGCCCCATCCTCCCCAACGCTGTCTGTCCTTAGTCCCAGATTTCTCCAGATGGGACAACTATGGCCAGCCCTGGGGGAGAGCAGTTGTCTCTAGCTTTGATTGTCATTGGAATCATCCAGGCCCCACTGAATAGGGGAGGAGGGAGGAATCAGGTTAGGGCTTGAGGATACCGGAGAGACCCAGATCCCAGGCCCCACCTGACTTCTCCCGCAACACTGCACCACTGCAGTTCCCACAGTTAGTGTGGGGAAGGAGGGAGGAGGGGGTAGGCCAGTGGGAGGCTACATGGGAAGAGGAGAGGGCTGGGCTAGGAAAGGTAACCCCTCCGGTTGGATACCGTGAGTTGAGGGTGCTTAGCAGATGCAGGTGGTCAGGAGGGTAGGCTGGACTCAAGCCCCGAAGCCTCCATTTCCTAGCTGGGTGACGTTGGATGAGCTGCTTAGACTCTTTGTGTCTGTTTTCTCGTCAATAGACAGGGATAAAGTTAGTATCTACCTCGTAGGATTGTTGGGAAGGGCCTGGCACGTTGCCAGCACTGGCTGTGTGGGCTACCAAGGGTATATCTGGCAGGAGGACACCCAGGAGGAATGCAGGTAGTGACCAAGGTCGAGGGGTAGATGACACCACCTAGGGGAGGAAGCAGCGAGTGAGGAGCCTTGGGGAACCCCGCCATTAAGGGCACAGACTGTGGATGTACATATTCCTGTTCGTGGGCCTTTGCACCGGCTGTTCCCTCTGCCTAGAACCTTCACTTCATTCAGGTCTCTGCACCCACGTCATTCCTTCCGCAGCAGACTCCCCGACCTCTGTCCTAGGCCGGCACTCTCCCACGGTGCCTGGCATGTAGTCGATGCTCAACAGACATTTTGTTGGCTGGATAATTCAACTAGAAAGCAACATCTAGAAAAAGAGAAGGAAAACAGAGAGTAGTAATACCCACGGTGTCAAGGAAGGTGGGGGCGTCAGAGAGAGAGAACTAGGGGCATCAGTACCCCAGGACTCAGGTTTCCACTTCCTCCCCCATCAGAGCTGGGTCCCAACAGCTGTCCAGCTGGTCTCAGAGAACGGTGAAAGGTGCTGGGAGGTTGGCAAGACCGGTGTGTATTATAGACTCTCTTCTGCTATTCTGAGTTGTTGTTTATTCATAGTTTACTAATTAGCTCGTGAAAAATCTGCACAATCACCACAGATTAAGTCATTGAAGAATCTTTACTCCTTCTTGCACCAGAATTGGCCTTTCCTGTAGCCCTGATCTTCTGCATTCCATTCGCTGTTTTCTTGGGGTATTTTTCTTCTGTAGGTACTGTCTTGCAAGCTTGTGATTGGGTTCATTTTTCTTTAGATTCAAGGAATCACAAATAATGTCAAAGCCAGTTGTTTTACCACCACCAAAGTGGGTTCTGACTCTGAATATAAGGTGAAATCTGGCTAGTTTGTCCCAAATTTCTGTCTTAGCTACCACTGCCTTCCCAGGGGGAAGGACATCAATGACTATGTAGTTGATTAGCCAGTACTTCCTGATTCAGGGAGTTACTGTGTCATTCATGGGAGAGGTGGATCCTCAGGCAGCCAGGGAGGAAAAGAGTGCAGTGATATTTCTAACCCTGAGATCCAGAGACTCAAGTGAATCCCTTTCATGCTCCAAAACTGCCACCATGCCAACAGGCTAACTGAGGCCATCAATGCCAACCAGGTCTCTCTTCTCCAAAGATCTGCCATCTGGACGGAGAGGCAGCCCTTCTTTCTCTCTCCTCCTCAGCTCTAGCTCCTTGCTTCTCCCCACCATCGACGCTTTTCCAATCCTTCCCACCTACCAGGTACCAAACCAGACCCCAGTGCTTACAACAACCCTGCCTCCCAATTTCATAGGTGAAGCCCATAGAAGCAGAAGGTCTTGCCCCAAATCACAAGTAAATGACAGAGCTGGGGTCTGGAGCCAGGGCTGTCTGTAACCAAGTCCAGTGTGCCTTCCCATGCTAGCCTAGGCCACCATCTCCCCAGAAGTGACATTTGACCAGGAATGACAACACCTGAAGTTTCCCAGGTGACCACCAGATGGCTGTGAGCACTCAGTTCCAGGTGAGACTTCTTTACTGTGGGTGGAGGCTCTCAAGGGAGGTTTGTGTGAGACCCAGATAAGATCCACATAAACTCCTTGGCCAAGCACAGAGAATCTGGGCATCGCCGGTGCAAGCATTCTTAGCACAGACCATTCATTCACTGACAGCTCCCTGGGCTTGGGTTTGAGTGGGGGCTGTGGACAGATGATCTGGTCACATCCTGCATTTTCAACATTCAAGAAGTATTTATTGAGCATCTGCTATTTGCCAGGCATTGTTCTAGGCACAGAGGACACAGCAATAAACAAATATTCCTGCCTTCTTCTTGGAGCTTCCAGTCTAATGGGGAGAGGCGGACAATCACAAACAGATACTTAATATGAAATTGAGTAGGGACCCCTTGAGGGTCTCACAGACCAGTAGAACAAACATGTACACAAAAAATCACACACGACACAGTATGGTTATTTCATGAACACCTACTTAGCCCTATGTGTTCTGGGAATTAACTATGGAAGAAGATGGGTGAGGATTAAGAATATTTTTTTCCATTGATTTTTAAGGAGAGGGAAAGACAAACACCAATGTGAGAGAAACACATTGACTGGTTGCCTCCTGCACTGCCCGGGTCCAGCCCCAGCGGTCCAGAGGTTCCCGCAGGTGTGGACGGAGTCGGCGAAGGATGTTTTACACAGAGACAGTGTTCAGAACTCTAGCTTTCTTTAGTCTCCGTGGATCTTTTCTCTGTGGCCTCAACATAGAACTTGATTGAAAATATAATATAGTTTCATGTGCACAAGCCCCAACCAGAGCCAGGGCTTGGGGAGGAGCCTGCAACCAAGGGAAGTGCCCTTGATCAGAATGGAACCCGAGACCCTTTGGTCCGCAGGCCAGCGCTCTATCCACTGAGCCAAACCGGCTAGGGCAGAAGACAGACATTTTTCATGCCTTCATGGAACTTACTAGTACAGCCTAGGAAAGAAATGAGTAATTTGATTTATGTTCTGAAGGAAAAAGGAGGTGTCATGATGTAGAATAACCAGGAGTCGTCTTTTTTTTTTTTTTAATATATTTTATTTTTTACAGAGAGGAAGGGAGAGAGAGAGAGAGTTAGAAACATCGATGAGAGAGAAACATCAATCAGCTGCCTCCTGCACATGTCCCACTGGGGAGGTGCCCGCAACCCAGGTACATGCCCTTGACCGGAATCGAACCTGGGACCTTTCAGTCCGCAGGCCGACGCTCTATCCACCCAGCCAAACCGGTTTCGGCCAGGAGTCCTCTTTTAAGTAGGGAGACCACGGAGTGAGTCCTTTGAAGAGAGAATAGAAGAGTTTTAAGGAGCGAGCACAGCAAGTGCAAAGTCTCTGAGGAGGAACAGAGTTGAGGAATAGAGGAGGCGAATGAGCTGAGGG